TTGCTGAGGAAGACTGGCTCTGAGCTAACATCTATTGCCAATCCTCCTCCTTTTTTTTTTCCCCCAAAGCCCCAGTAGATAGCTGTATGTCATAGTTGCGCATGCTTCTAGTTGCTGTATGTGGGACGTGGCCTCAGCATGGCCAGAGAAGGGGTGCGTTGGTGCGTACCCGGGATCCGAACCCAGGCCACCGGTAGCGGAGCATGCGCACTTAACCGCCAAGCCACGGGGCCGGCCCTCATCAGGGTGGTTTTTAAAAATATTAATGCCCCTGGGGTTCCACTTACAGAGATTCATCTAAATTGTTCTAGGGTGGGGTCCAGTAAGGGTATTTCTTAAGCTTCCCTAGTGATCCCAATGTACAGCCAGAGTTTAGAACCACTCCTGTAGATTAGAGACAAAGCCAACTCACCACCTGTCTCTAGAAATAAGGCTTATTGGAACACAACCATGCTCATTCTTTTATGTATTGTCTCTGGCTGCTTTTGCGCAATAACGGAAGAGTTGAGTAGTTGGGCAGAGACCACACATGACCCACAATGCCAAAAATATTTACTATCTGGCCCTTTAGAGAGACAGTTTTCTGATCCCCAGTCTGAATTAACTGAGTAAGTTCTGAGAAAGAAATTAATGAGACAATAATAAAATCTGCTTTAATTCACAATGAAAGTTCACAGAAATTTTAGAATTCCCGGAGAAATGTTTCTTTTTTGAAGATGTTTCTTCTTACCATAATGTTTTTGAGACATTCTAAAGTTATTATTGAGGTGGTATGAAAATTATTTTTGGGATATGTGAAAAATTATTTGATGGAACATTAAAATTTTAGAACAAATAATTCTGTGTTTCCCTAATTTTTTCCCCTTCCTCTGTTAAATGCTTTCTATCTGGGCCACATAAGGAAAAATGTCGACTTTGCAGAATGATTGGTCAACAAGGAGACAACAGATTTCTTCTAATAGTATTGAAAAAAAAATTGGTCACATTGGTCAAATGGGTATGGAATCGTGGGTAGTGTTCCACTGATATTAATTTCTAGCAAAGCAAACAAAATACTGTGATCAAAATAGCAAAACATTAGAGTATGATGGAGGATTTGGAGGGAGAGGGTAAGATTACAGGTGATTTTTTAACACTTCTCTATATTTTCCAAATTCTTAAAATGGTTATGTATTATTTCTGTAAGTCATAAAAATATTGATCTGTACTTCCTGGGCTAGAGCAAAAACTCCAACAATTTTTTTCTGGTGGACCTAAGTACCTCTCAATAGTGGTCTGAAGGAATAACAAATGCCTGCTGTTGCAGAGGATAACACAGTGAAACCTCCCATGGCCAAAGACTGCAACTCTGCAATATGTTGGGGCCCTTAAAAATAACCAAATCTCATATTCTGATTTATGTATGGCAACTGGAGCTCAGATTGCCTAAGTCTGAGGGAGACCATTTGAGAAAATGGCTGGTGTAGAATCTTTTCCACCAATGGAAAAGAATTCACATACACCTTACAACTCACAGTAGAGTATCTCAACATTAAGAGTCCCTTGTGGCCCAGAATATTGTTTTCTTCATTCAAGAGGACACAGCACCCTGTGTCTAAACAGCTCTATAAAGGATGTTTCTTTACTGAGGGGAAGGGTCTTAAAAGTTGGCTTCTTTACTGAGGGAAGGATCTTAAAAGTTGGCTTAAAATTTGGCTTAAAAGAAGGCCTTTAAGTCATCTGCTGACTCTGACCTTATTTTGCTCAGGGAAAAAAAGAAGCACAACAGGCTCTGAAACAGCAGCCATTGGTATAAAAATCAATAAACAGTCTTTACTTGTGTCTAGTTGGGAAGGTCTGCTAATTTGTGTCAGTTACCCTCATACAAACACCACTTATCATTTTCAAAAACAAAGTAAAATGGTAGATACCTGCCCCCAAACATTCTTCTCAATGAGAACATGCTGGAGATTGGAAAATACATTTACTTAGAAAGAGGATTATAAATTTTAGCAAAGATCCCAGGATAGGATTTTCCACTATAACAGAACAGACTGTGCCCTCTCCCCCCGAATCAACAAGTTTCAAGTTTCCACTGCAAAAAAATTTCAGTACAATACAGGGAAGGTTTTCGGAATGTAATTTCATGAAGGTGAAGAAAGAGGGAGAAAGGCAAAATACAGTTCTCTTAGCTCCTGTGGGCTACATTTCCTTCAATCCCTGCTCTCCTCCCCCCACTCCCCACAGCTCCAGATCTCTTTGTATTTTTATTCTGAGTACCTGCTCCAGTTCATAGGCCTTTGCCTTATCCTCATCCCGGTCTGCATTCTTCCGATAGGCCAGGCCCAAAGCCCACACAGCCAAGATGCTGTACACATTATCACGGACCCAGGCATCTTTCTGATCATAGCTGGCTGGAAGCAAGCCAGTCACAGGATTCTGCAAGGCCAAGAAAAAGAGAAGCAGGTAACCATAAGGTGTTTACATGAGGAAACAGAATCTATCAAATGGGTTATTTAGGGACTTTGGTCTTCTACTTCCCCACTCCTGAGTTTTGTAACCTCCTCTTCTTCTGACAAAGTGCAAGCAAATGCTATTTTGAATAAGGGGCAAGAGCTGGCTGAAGCCTTACAAGTGTGAAATGTGGGTATTATTAAAAGAAAGGCAGTGTTTTAACTTTCCAGTTAGAAAGAATGAACAACCAACAAAGAACCAACATTAAAGGAGTGGAAAAAATGGGGCTGGCCTGGTGATGTAGTGGTTAGGTTCACGGGTTCAGATCCCTGGTGTGGACATACACACGGCTCTCAAGCCATGCTGTGGAAGCGTCCCACATACAAAATAGAGGAAGACCAGCATGGATGTTAGCTCAGCGACCATCTTTCTCAAGCAAAAAGGGGAGAATTGGCAGCAGATGTTAGCTCAGGGCCAATCTTCCTCACACACAAAAAAAATAGAGTAGAAAAAATAACTAACAGCATATATGAAGTACCTCAGGTCTTCACAATCATCTAGTCTTAAGATGGCTAAATGTTCCCCTACTTCTTTTCTATGGCATAAGGGGAAGGAGATGACTCCCAAACCTCGGGCGGGGTGTGTGTGTGAATAAACAAGCTTCAACACATCTTTCAACTCTGCCTCCCTGGAGCCCAGCTGTGGCTTGGGGGGCGGGGGACTCAGACGCCATGACTCAGGGCTGGTGGCTAACGGTGCCTGACTCGGGTTCTGCTACTGGCCCAACACCTCTCTTTTCTTCAGGGTTCTTTACGGCCTCCCCAGCTAGGGGGCGGGAGAACCCGCTACAGACACACGGGGGTTCACCCAGGGTCTCCGGCCAGGCTATCATACTGCACATGCTCGGTGGTTACAGGCGACACCCCTTCACTTACCTGATGGCACAGGATGGTCTGATGAACCAGCCTAGCGTAGCCGTCCAGCCGGACGCCCGAGTTACTCCGGCTCCTCATGGCGCCACGTTTTCAACCCCCTCAGAGAAACGGCCCGGGTGCCGCAGGGGCCCTCGGTCCTCCAAGGAGACTCCAACACAGCTCCACCCACGCTGTGGGAAGCCGGAGCGCCAGGTCCGGGCAGAGCGCTTTCACCGCGCAGGCCTGCGGCCGGCTGTCCGGACAACGGTGGCCTCTGGAGCCCACCACAGGCCAGCGCGCCCGAGCCTCCCGTGGTCTAGCGCCCCGGCGCCGCTCTCCGCCACCCTTACGCCCGTCCGGCCTCCGCGTGTGGCTCCTGCATCCTCCGCTCAACTCCCGGAGACCGCCACGGCCCAGAGCCTCCCGTGCGGCCGGCGGCAGCGAGTCACTGGCCGCGGCACCGCCTCCACCTTGCGGGAGCCGCGAGCCGGAGGCGGGGCGGGCGCCGCAGGTCCCGGCAGCTGCGCGCTGCGCCCGCCCCGCCCGCGCCCGCCCCGCGGCCGAGAATGTGTCACCATTGGCAATGTGCTTTCAGAGGTTTATTTTTGAAATGCCTCAAATGACTGTTTCAGTTTTCCACCCTTGCCGTGCACCCAGGACGTTGAGGAGGATGTTTCCTCTGGTTTCTTCTGCTGGACTAGTTTTAGGAACCTACGGTAACTTCAGTCCTAAAAAGAAGGACGCACGTTTGCGTTCAAGGTCTAAAGAATTGGAATTTCCGGGTCTTTACTGTATTTTATATGTTTGACTAAAAGCTCTGGTTAAACTCCTTACTCCGACCCAAACCAAACAAGAAGGAACTTCCTAAGGTACTTGATATTCCTCAGAAACTGGCGAATCGGCGGGCTTGGGAAGGACGGGGCAGTGGTGCGCTGTGTGGAAGCGAGTGCCCCAGGAAGGGAAGTGGGCTAGGAGGCAGCAGTGTCTCAGGACGGCCTTGGCCGGAGAGGAGCTGGAGATTGTGTAACTGCTTTGGAAAGCTCCCTCATGCGCACGTAGGTCACAAAGCTGAGGCAACAAAGCCTCAGCTGAAAATAAAGGGGAGAAAGGGAGGCTAGAAAAGAAGCCTGTAGGTAACGCTGGTCACTGACTGCAGGAAATCGGTCCGCACTCCAGCGGTGTCCCGGCCCCAGGGCCTTTGCTCCCTGCCTTTACTGCCCCCAACCCCCACCTCTTGATCTCCGCTTATCTAAACCCTGCACGTCTTTCAAGGCTCGGCTTAAGAACCACCTGCTCTCTGAATCGCGGGGTAACAGAATTAGACCAACTGACTTTTCAAGTCTGACTCCAAGAATTGGCGATTCTAAGCCATCCCTAGCTACCCTACTCGGGCCACAGTGATTTTGCATTTTCGTTTATCTTTTTATTTTTCTAAATTTAGTCTCTCCTCGTAAGATCCCTCTGTTCCAACCCCCACCCTCACCCACTCCCAAATTAGCATAAAGCCAGGCACCTAGGAGGTGACTAGCAAATATTTGGTAATATTGACGATGAAGGAGGAGGGAATGCTCCGGATCTCAGATCTGGGACTTTCAGGTTCAACGGCCAGTCAGTGATACAGTTAGAGAGTGATACACTTAGAATTCTCAAGCAAATAGTTTCCATTGCAGTCACCAGCTACACAAATGCCGTGACTGGCAAGTAACAAGACACTGCAAGACCCAAGTGCACAGGGGAAGAAAAAGTATTTCCAGGCAAAGCTACTTCATTTCTGTCCCTGCTCTGCCCCTAACTCCCTGACAACTTCCCCTCAACCTGTCGCCTCAAAAGCCCTTTCTCTGCCCTTGTCCCCTTCAAACTACTGCCTTCTCTTTTTCTTCACCTCACCATCATTTAAAAATGTTTAAAAAATATTAAAGTAATATATGCTCACTAAAGAAAACTTGGAAAGTATAGAAAAGTAAAAAAGTAAAGCAAATTACCCATAATTCCATCACACACAACCACCTGTTAATATTTTAGTTTATTTTTTCTAGTCCTTTTATTCTTTCTGCACAGACCCCCAAGTTATTTAGAAGTATGAATAGATTAGGAATGCCAAAGGTAGCGTGTCACCAATAAAGGTAACTGGCTGGCTACCAAGAGGCCTTGTAGGATGGCATTACCTTGGTGCTTTCAACCTCAGTCCAGGCTGGGCATTCAGTCCTGCAGTCTCAGAAACTTGATCTTCTCAGTGTCCCAGACCTGGTCAGACTCAGGAGGCTGACTCATGCTTATTACCTCATGAGAGACTGATATATAAAAACCAGGATGCTGCTTGATAATGAGAAATAGACTGTGACAGTTTATATTGCCACCACATTCCCTCCCTTTAATAATAAGCCTCACTCCTTACTAAGAGCTATTTTGTTTTATACAATAACCCTATGAAGTAAATACTATTATTAACCCCATTTTAGAGATGGAGAAACTAAGGCACACAAAGATTAAATAACTGACAAGTCTTCTCTGGCCATGTTGGCTTCACTGACTCTCCTTATCTATGCTTGCATGGCTCACTGATACATTCCTTCTTTAACTATGTCAAAATTATCAATCAAGTTATAGTCAAGTTTTATCAATCTGGAAGCTATTATGTTTCTTGAAGGTGATTTTTCCATTTGATTCATTGTACATTAATTTTATAGTTTAACTCTCGAATCAAATTTTATTTCCAAGTTCCTGGGACTATTTTATTGTTGCTCCCTTATATTACCTGGAAGTTTTAATCATACTAATTTTCAAAAATCCAAAATTTTTAGAACTTCACATTTTATAAATATTTTCCATGGTTTTACATTTTATGTTAGTCTGCAATAATCTTCCCTCTAGTAGATGTCTCACAGTTTGCTTAGCTATTCTCTTATTATTAATTAATAATAAATCTTTTATTATTACATTTCTTGAAAAAAATAGTCCATACAATATTTCCTTTCCATTATTTCCCATTCACTCTCTTTAAAAATTGTTTTAAATTATGTGAGAAATATATGAACACATTTTTCACGAAAAAAGTTAAAATATTACAGACAAGGTTAAAGTTCTCTATGTCTATTATCCACAATCACAGTCTCCTTTATCTCCCTTCCCAAAGGTAATCACTGTTATAGGATTGGTTTGTATCCTTCCAGATTTTTTCCTGTGGATTTACAAATATATGTAGAAATGCATACAAAATATTGCTGTTTTCTGTGTATTCTTTTAATATAAACAATATTATACTGTACCTATTGTTGTGCAGATTGCCTTATTCATCCAAACTTATGTCATGGAGATCTAGTCATGTTATTCCATAGAGATCTACCTCATACACCATGGTTTGTGTAGGCATTCCTCTACTGATGAGCGTTTAGTTTGTTTTCAGGTTAGAACTCTTGAAAACAGTGCTTCAGCGAACATAGATATATGTCTTCTTGTGAGTGCATACAGGTATTTTGGAAAGAGGCATTTAAAATTTTCATATAACCAAAAGCCATTTAAATTATCTGCACCAACCAGAGTGTATGAAAGTCTCCATTCCCCCATCCTTATCAGTACTTGATATTATTAAACTTTAATTTTGAGCGATCTGATTGATGCAAGATGGTATCTTACTTTGTTTCATTTACCTGAATACAAATGTCTTTGAGCATCTTTTTATGTTTATTTAAATTTTTTATATTGTGTTTGTTTATTTAATTTTATTTCTTCTGGTTAATAATTGTTTATATACTTAATCATTTCGCTATTGGGTAGTTTTTCTTATTGATTTATAGGAATTTTTAAAAATTATATAATCTGGATTTTAACTTTTTTGAAAAAGAAATCTAAAAGGGATATTGCACATGTTTTCTTATAAGTGATTTGTCTATTAACATTATGGTGTCTTTTTTTCATATAGCTTTTATTTTATTTTATTTTTTTTGTGTGTGAGGAGATCAGCCCTGTGCAAACATCTGCCAATCCTCCTCCTTTTTTGCTGAGGAAGACTGGCCCTGGGCTAACATCCGTGCCCATCTTCCTCCACTTTATATGGGACGCCCTCACAGCATGGCCCGCCAAGCAGTGCATTGGTGCACGCCCGGGATCCGAACCGGGGAACCCTGGGCCGCCACAGCAGAGCACGTGCACTTAACTGCTTGTGCCTCTGGGCCGGCCCCAGCTTTTATTTTTAATGAAGTCAAATTTATGAGTCTTTTCCTTTTTTCTTATTTTAGAAGGCTTTTATAGTAGGATGAATGGTGGCCTCCCAAAATATATGTTCACCTGGGACTTGTGAATGAGACCTTATTTGAAAAAAGGACTTTTGCAGATGTAATTAAGTAAAGGATCTGGAGATGAGATCATGCTGGATTTTCCTACTACCCTCTAAATCAATGACAAATGTTCTTATAAGAAAAGGAGAGGACACATAGGGAGGAGAAGGTGATGTGAAGACAGAGGCAGAGATGGAAGTAATGCATTTATAAGCCAAGGAATGCCAAGGATTGCCAGCAGCCACAAGAAGCTAGGAGAGAAGCGTGGAACAGATTCTTCCTCAGAGCCTTCAGAAGGAACCAACCCTGCTGACACCTTGATATCGGACTTCTGGCTTTCAGACTGTGAGAGAATAAATTTCTATTGTTTTAAACCACCTAGTTTGTGGTAATTTGTTATGGCAGCCCTAAGAAGCTAATAAAGCCTTCCTGCCCCCAAGATCATCAACACATTATCATTTTTTCTAATACTTTTATTGTTTTGCTTTTTATCCATAGCTTTTTAAATTCCTCTATGATTTATTTTTATAAATGCGTTTAGACAGAAATTTAACTTAGTATTTTCCTAAGTGGTTAGCTAATTGTACTAACACCACCTAATGAGTTATTCTTTTCCTATTGATTTGAAATGCTATTTTGATTGTACCCATGGGTCTGTTTCTGGATCACTAGTCTGTTCCATTAATCTGTTTTTCTATTCCTTCATCAATATTGCACTTCCTTTGGGCCAGCCTGGTGGCATAGCGGTTAAGTTTGCTCGTTCAGCTTCCATGGCCCCGGGGTTGGCTGGTTCGGATCCTGGGAGTGGACCTACTCACTGCTCATCAAGCCATGCTGAGGCGGCGTCCCATATAGAAGAGCTACAACTCTACAAGTATGATACACGACTATGTACTGGGGCTTTGGGGAAAAAAAAGAAAAAACAAAAGGGGGAAGATTTGCAACAGATGTTAGCACAGGACCAATCTTCCTCAAAACAAAAAATATTGCACTGCCTTGGCTATTCTTGAGCTTTAATCTTCCATATGAACTTTAGAGATATCTGGTCAGGTTCTAAGGAAAATCCTGATTTTTATTGTGATTGCACTGAATTTATAGATTTGTCTGGGGATGTCGGCTGAAAGAGAGTCTAGGTGATATTTGTGAAGGAGTTTATTCAATAATCAGTGTGAGGACCAGGATTGTTAATTATTCCCTGAATCTCTAAGAAATGCAGCTGGGAAATGTGAG